CCGGAGCAAGCGCATCGCCTTCAAATGCAGCGCCCCCGTGCCTGCGTGCCTGACAACCATTCGGAGACGGGGGGTGGGGTGGGGGGGCGGGGGCGGCAGGGCCCCTCACTGCTGCCCCCGCTCTGGGCCTGCATTGTCAATGGCCACCCCGTCTCCAAGACTGAATCAACCCGACGCCTGGGGGATGACACACTGATTCTTGGAGGAGGAGAGGCTGAGGCTGCCTTTGTTTCATGCCACCTACTTCGTGTGCACTGCAGCAGCAGCCAGCACGCGCGCTGGTTCCAAGGTTTCGCACCCACCCACTCACCCTGTGTGCCCTGAACCCTGTGCAGTTTCCGAATCCTTCAAGATGCTGAGACGACACCGACCACTGGACCTGCATTTGCACTGGATAGAATGACTCGCCCGGGGAAAGTGATACTTGGAGTACTTTAGACACAGGACTGCACTTCCCAAAACTAGTTTAAAATCTTCTGAACAGCACTACAAAGAACGAGGTGGACAGTGGGGGGGGGGGGGGGGGGGGGGGGGGGGAGGGGGGGAGGCGGGCGGAGAGGTCACCGAAAGTGTGCCTCTTCCTCCATGGCAGAGCTGGGCTGGGAACGTAGACCATACCTCTGTCCAACTTCCTCATCCTCTGGCGGCAGTGGGCTGCCAACCCGAGGAAGAGCAGCTGGGAATCACAAACTGCTCTGCGGGAGAAAGACCCACCGTCCGGGTACCGAGTTAGTCTTGGAAACTCAGTCATTTCTACCCTGCCCTATAGCAAGCGTCGCTGGGAGTCTGAATCCAGTCGATGGCGGTGACTTTGTTGTTTTCGGTCTTCTCAGGACCCCATTTAAACTACAAAATCATGAAATACAGTGTTTACAAGTATATATTGTCTGTCGTCGTCGTCATTGCAAGGAGCCCACAGCAACCCTATGCCCCACAGGAGGAAGCACTGCTCAGCCCTGCACCAGCCTCACAATGATCTGATGCCGGGGCCAACCCTGCAGCCACAGTGTCAATCCTCTACCTCGGTGTCTTCTCCTGCCTTACCAAACACGATGTTCTTTTCACACGAGAGGCAATGCGTCATTCCGTGGGAGGTGCCAATTGCTTGCTCTTGGCTACTATCGCAGAGGCTGGCAGTTGGCGCCCACCCAGCCCATGAAGGCTGTTAGGTGCTGTCGAATTGGCATGATGATTCCAGCCAATAAAATTCAGTGGAAGAGTTCTACTCTCTGAGACGTCCCCAGGGGTCCAAACTGACTCCCGGCGGCTCAGCAGCAAAGATTTGGTTTGGGTTTTGGTTTTGTTTGTTTCTATTGATTGAGGAATATTGCTGGAGGGATTACTATACTTGTGGATAAAAGCGTAGTGTCTACATTTTATAGAGAAAAAGAAAAATCAGAACATGAACGTAGATAATAAATCAAAACTTTCCCTTAATTTAGAAATGTGTCATTCATGGTCATCAGATTCCTGCAGGACAGATGGGGCTCAAAACCAACGACGGGCACCTTCATGGCCTCACCCTAAAGAATGAAGACCAAGATTCCCAAAGATCTAACAGTAGAGAATGAACAAACTTTCCTTTTATCTAAACTTTTTTTTAACTGCCTACAGCTGCTTCCTGCCAGAGTAACTTCTAATTAAGACTGGACCCCTGATGTTAAATGCTATTTTTGAAAGTTCTGTGCAAACTAATGATGATTAGATTTCCACAGACACAGAGAACCTGAGCCTTTATTTATTTTATTTTCATTTTTTTCCTCTTGAAAATTTTCCTGATTAAATATATATTATGACCCCTTCTAATGTCAGTACGAGAGCAAATTCCCTGAGAACATCCTTTAAAATTTTGTCATTAAATTGCAAAATAGAGTACTATACATCAGGACTGGGCTTAAATGAGGCATACACCACTGGGATCATTTTTTATTTTTTAATTACCACTAGCTACGGCAGAAACAAAGATCCCTCATGGCACTGTGGGTTAGACTATGGGCTGCTAAGTACAAGGTGAACAGGTCAAACCCACCAACCCACCACTCCTCTAAGTGAGAAGGATGAGTCTGGCTGCTCCCACAAAGGTTTAAAATATGAGAAATCCTATACAGGGTGACGACCAGTCAACTTCAATTAAATGACAGTATTTTATTGTGATTTTATTTTATAGGAGAATTGGATCTTTGCGCTGACTCGGTGGCAGTGAGTGAGTTATATAAAGAATACATTTAATTTTACCTTCCCATTCTTTCCAGGGCAGACTTTAGACTGACCAACAGCTACATCTAGCTTACTCAGCCACCCTGTACAAGAGCCTGTTCTGTGATTCAGTGCTGTTATGGACTGTACGCCAACAAAATTATATATTGGAATACTAACTCTTGCGCCCATGGAGAAGAACGCTGGTAGGGTGTTGCACAGTTGGGCTGCAAAATGCAAGGTCAGCAGTTCAAAACCACCAGCCCCACCTCAGGAGAAAGATAAGGCTTTCCATCCCCATAAAGAAGTACAGTCTCAGAAACCCACAGAGGCAGTTCTACTCTGTCCCATAGGGTCAGTATGAGTTAGAATTGACTCCATGGTAGTGAGTGAGCTAGTTATACCTGTGGATGTGATCACTGTTAGAAATGGGATTTTGTCCCTGAGAACCTTGGCACATGGAATACATGGACTATCGGAAATAGGGAAGGATACAAACACAGAGGAGTCACAAACTGACAAGTGGGATATACTGAAGATAAATCACATGTGCACATCAAAAGAATTCACCAAGAAAGTGAAAAGAGAACTCACAGGCTGGGAAAACATCTTTAGCAATGACACATCAGACAAAGGTCTTATTACTAAAATCTACAATACTTTGCAAACTTACAATAAGAAAAAAACTAACTGCCCACTGAGGAGGTGGGCAAAGGACCTGAACAGATGTTTCACAGGGGTAGAAATCTGAACGGCCAATAAACATATGAAAAATGTCCCTGATCATTAGCCATAAGAGAAATTCAAACTAAAACAACTATGATATACCACCTAACACCTCAAAGATAACCCAACTCAAAAACTCAGAAAGTAATAAGTGTTGGAGGGGTTGTGGGGAGATAGGAACTCTTGTCCACTGCTGGTGGACCTGTAGGTATGTGCAGCCATTATGGAAATCGATTTGGCGATATCTAAAACAGAAAGAGATTGAGCTACCATACGACGCAGCAATCCCCCTAATGGGCATATACCCAGAAGAGACAAGAAACAAACCACGGCCAGACATCTGTGCTTCATTGAGGCACAGATCATAATTGCAAGGAGTTGGAAATAACCCAAATTCCCATCAATAGATGAATGGATCCAAAACTGTGGTACATACATAAAATGGAGTACTACACATCCATAAAAAGCAGTGATGAATGCATGAAGCACATTGCTACATGGGAAAAACTGGAGGAAATCATACAAAGTGAAGTATGCCAAGCACAAAAGGACAAGTACAACACGAGTCCACTGAGGTAAGTTTTAAAAAAAACCGGGGCATAGGGAAAAAGCTACTATATGCATACATCCCTGGGGTGAGGTCCAGCAACTATGGTAGGGGCCAAACCAATCCAGGGATACAAAGTCAGCCAACTAAATAAGAGGGGGAAAGAGGGAAAGAGAGGAAAAAGACATAGGTAGGGGGCAGCAGGGCACTAACCCACCCAAGGGAAGGGTATTGTTTATATCTCCACAGGAGGAGAAAGAGACCAGGCTTCAACCCAATGCGCCAAGATGTGAATACAATATACCAGAATGTAGCAGGGAACCAACAGAGAGGTCTGTGGGGCCAGCCCCAATCCTAACTCTGTGGACACCACCCCCCATAAGAATGCACTTCAGAGGACAGCACTGGGGCTACAGTTTGGGGAGAGGGACACATCGGATTAGAGCACCCGGGAGAAATAAAAAGGAATGGAGAGGGAGGAGAGGGCATCCTGGCCCACCAAGCCCCAAGGATGATGTTCCTGCTCAGAGCAGACAACTCACATGGGAGGACCGTAGGACCGGCCCCACCA